ACACATCTTTACCGGGCCATCAAGTGCATTCGACTCTTTGGCGTCCACTAAAGGCTCAGCCCCGATCGCGACCAAGCATAACCTTACCCGCTCAACCTCATGGACAATCGTGTACATTGCGATGCTGGTGGGTCTGTATACTTTCGTGTTGCAGCTGATTGATGATGACGCATTGCACTGCTCCACAGATTCTTTTCACGCTCAGGTCCGACAGCCAATTCTCAGCCGACGCTCGCCCCGGTCACTTCAGCTACGAGAAGTATTACAACGGTCTGATCACGCTGTTCGATATCACGGATGAAGACGCTGATGTTACATGGGTCAACGACACACTTGCCTTCTACGACAAGTAAGTGGTCTTCTGCGCTAGTGGATGGCAGGTGCTGACTCCCTCGTGTTCGACAGGGAGGTATTTGCTCACAGCTCTGCCAACTCGGAGGTGCAAAAGACAGCCGGTGATTCAACCGGCGGATTGGCCTATGTCAGAGCTCGGCGTCGTGAGCGTCGCATGGCCGATGGTGGTGGCGACGGTGGCGGCGGCGGTGGAACTAGTAGTGCATGAGCACCAAGTACTATTTGTTGTATGATTGTTTTATGAATATAGTAAATATCCGTTATTCTGAAACCCATAACGCGTGTAAAATAAAGGCAGAAACAATTCCCGATCCTGCTCGCTAGCCGTGCGATGTAGCAGCCAGCTCAGAATCCCGTCAGCTTAGACCGTGGCGGAAACACCCTGTGGGATACTGACCAGGACTTGTCAGTGTGCTCGCAGGTGTCACTCTGGCAGCAGGTGGTTGCGCGTGGACAATATGATGGGTGATGGCCAGAAGATTGGTGGCAGTTCTGGGCCAAATGAAAGGACCGTCAGCCTGATGGGGCTGAACTGGTATGATAGGACTTGCTCTGAACTGATTGAGCCTGATCAGCGTCGGGCGGTTTTGCTGATGTCCTCGACGCGTTCAAGAAGCTCCAGGGCGGGAAGTACAGGCCCAAGTTGTCGATCATAGTGTGCGGGAAACGACACCATGCGAAGAACTTTGCGACCGGTCAGGATCATGTTACGAGGAACGGGAATACGGTGCCAGGGACGGTTGTGGATAAGGGGATTACGGATGTGTTCAATCACGATTTCTATCTTCAGGTGAGATTTTTGTGCTTACATTTGTCCTTCACGTTCGTGTTTGCTGACATGAGAGTCTTGCTCCTAGGCTCATCACGGACTGCAGGGCAGCGCCAAATCCACGCACTACACGTGCATCTACGACGAGAACGACATGTCCGCGGACACGCTCCAAGAACTGACGAACCGCAACTCGTACCTGTACGCCCGCGCCACGAAAGCCGTGAGCCTGATCCCGCCCGCGTACTACGCCGACCTGGCATGCGAGCGTGCGCGGTTGTACCTCAATAATTTCTTGAACTTGGCTGAGGCGGATGCGGCGTCGACGGTGGGGTCTGGGTCTGCTAGGAGGGGCGTCGGGAGGGGGAGGTCGAGGGAGGAAGAGCAGGCGGAGAGAGAGAAAGTGTTCCAGGATGCGGTGAAGGTGTGGGGGAATGGGCTGCATCAGTCGCTGAGGGAGAGTATGTTCTACATTTGAAGAGTGGGCTGATCGAAGGGAAACGACTGGTTTGTTTCTTCAAGGAATTCTATACAGCACTGTACTAGGAAGATCGCTTTCGGATACCGCTCTTGTTGTCCAACTTATGCTGCTAATATGCATTTACTCTGTATTGTAGTGTGTATGTCATGTCGCAATCATTAGTGTTATGTTCTGTGCGTGTTATTTACGACTGTTGTGGCAAGATGGGCGCGATGACGCGGTGGTGTGCCTGCCCGCGCCCCTTCGCGACGCCCTCTCAGAGTCCCACTCCTGACGCCACGACCCCGTCACCTGGCTTGCATGTGAATACGAACGCGGGGATGACGTCAATCGCGAGCTGCTACAGCCTAGTCCAGGCTAAAGAGGATGGCCCATACAAAACATCTCAAACATCCTCCAAATCTCCCCACATCGTTTCCCCACATCCTCCTGTCAATCGAACGACATTTAGCGGATTGAAGACAAGAAAAAGACATAACGAGCCGACATGTCTGTTCTCAAAGCAGAATATCACAACGTGGCCACCTACACGTCGTCGACGCTTTCGGCCGCATCTCGCTTCCATGTCTTCACCGTCCTTTCGCCGACACGCTTCTTCGGCTTCATCTTCAATATTTTCTACATCCTCGTGCAGGGAGTGATCATATGGGCGTTCAAACCAGTGAGTTTCTTCATGTTCTTTCGGTTGAAGATCTGAGCATTGACCCCTGACTACCCCAGAAACCGCCTCGCAAGCCCGAGCAACCGACCAAACCCAAAGGCAGGATCGCTGTCATCGGCGCAGGGTTAACCGGCGTGTCGTCTGCAGCGCATGCTATCGCTCATGGATTCGACGTGGTGATTTTTGAGAAGGAGGACAGAGTCGGTGTGTGCCTATTTCTGTTGATGAGGAGGATTGGTCGTGCTCAAATTTATCATGCTGTCAGGCGGGATTTGGACCCATGTGAATTCTACGTCTGGTCTTCAGCTGAACTCGCTCTTGTACCGGTTCCACCCTAGCCTGCTGTGGTCGCGGGCTTACCCTCTACGAGACGAGATCCTCGGAGGTACGTCTCTTTTGATTCTAGCGGCGCGCTTCAGCTCATTATACCCTTCCTGAAAACAGAGGTCGAACGCATCTGGAAAGAATACAACCTCGCCTCGCGCACTCGCTTCAACACCCCCGTCACCTCAGTTCGCCGCGCCGACGGCTCCGACCCCGCAGACGACATCGACCCGAACGGCCAAGGTCACGCGCGGTGGATCGTGAACGACGGACACGAAGGCGTGTTTGACGCGGTCATCGTCACGGTGGGGACGTGTGGGAAGCCGCGGATGGTGCAGTTCGAGGGTATGCCCGGTGTAAAGGCGAAGCAGGACGAGAAGGAGAAGAGGAAAGACGAGAATGGCGACGCGCGGAAAGCAGAGGGCCAGAGTACGTCGAACGGTACAGGCACTCACGAGCCTCCGGACTCGGCTTCCTCAGAAGCCAGCATCGAGACGGAGAAGCAGTCTCAGCATGGACCGTGGACGGAGGGTCAACCTCAGCCTTCTGCGCGGGTGATCGAGCTCGACCAGGAGATTAAGAAGGACGCCGGATTCCCTGCGCCGGGTGAGGCGTACCCGACGACGCCGTCGTTGGATCCCCAGCGCGGAACGAAGGCCAAGTCGTTGTTGGAAAACAAAGACGGAGGCGATGACGAGGGCGAGACTCACCAAGAGGATGAAGATGACGGCGATGTGTTCAGGAAGGGACCGATTGTGCATTCGTCACAGTTGGACCGGTTGGAGGAAGACGAAGTGAGGGGGAAGACAGTGGTGGTGGTCGGGAGTGGGGCGAGTGGGGTCGAAGCGGTGGAGACGGCGTTGGCCAAGGGCGCGAAGAAGGCGATTATGGTCGCTAGAGACGATAAAGTAAGTTTTTATCTCTGCCGTTTTGGCAGTTGTTGTGCTGATTGTATGCGTTCGCAGTGGATCATTCCGAGAAACACCATCTTGGACACGCTCATCTCTGCTCAGCCGTTCGGCAGGCAGATGCCTCTGAGGTGCGCATGCTCTTCACTCTCAACCTCGTCCTGACTCTGACATACAACGCTTCTCCAGCTTCCTCTGGGAGAACATCGTCATCTGGTGGAACTACCGCGGTCTCCGAGACCTCGCGCCCAAGCACCTCGGTATCTTCGAAGGCACGCCGGTACGTTCTCTTGCTTCTGCTTCCCCGTTTGAGAGGTTCACGGCGCATATACTCACTTCCTTCTGAACTGCAGGTCGTCAACGACGATTTCCTCTACCACGTCCGTGCAGGACGGTGTGAGTATGTCCGTGGCGATACGCAACGGTTCACGAAGGACGGTGTTCGCGTCAGCGTGAGAGAACGCGATAGTCGGCCTGGGGATGCGGGGTCTGTCAAGGAGGTAAGTTCATTTGCATGATTCGATAAGATGCCGTTCGAGATTCGTGGTTGATTTGGTTATTGGTAGTTCGACGGAGACGTCATTGTTCTCGCTACTGGGTACGAGAAGCCGGATATTGATTTCTTGAAGAAAGAGCTGTTCCCAGAGGGGTACGAGGTACATTTTCTCTCGCTCTGCTTTGAGAGTCGTGACTGTGCATTGACATATTTCGTTGTGCAGAGACCGAACCTGTACCTCCAAAACTTCTCCACGGAGGACTGGTCGATTTTGATGACCAACTCGGCGTATATGAACGCCATCGGTACTGTGTAAGCTACTCGTCATCCACTTCAGCCTCGAATCATCGCTCACTTGGATTCATTGCTCGCAGCGGTCACTTGTACGTTTCATCAGGGATAGCTTTGGATCTCGAACTCTGTATTAACACTCTTCGTTACTTACAGCCACATCGGCATCTACACCCGCATCCTCCTCACGCTCCTCATGGACCGCGATGCGCGCCCGTCGCCGAAAGACATGAAGCTCTGGGTCGACGTCATCCGCTTCGTCAAGCGCGGTGCCAAGGGCGGCGCTCTCGGGTTCTTCACGTATATGGAACTCAGTGCGTGTCGTTTGTATCTACGTTGTGAGCACAGCTGATGGAGTGTGTGTTCCATAGCGATTTGGCTGTTGTTGTTCCATGTGTTGAGGATTGATAGGATTAGATGGTGCGTCATGCGTTATTCGCCGGCTCGACTCCATTAATCTGACGGATTACATCGTTACCGTAGGGTGTTCTTCATCATGCAAGGGTGGGGCGTCTCGCCTGCTGAGTACCATCGGTAAGTTGAAATGTAGAAAGATGTGTAGCACATGTAAAAGCGTAGTTTCCCTGTTGCAATGATTCATAGAGTCAGAGAAGCTGTTCTGGTGCGTGATTGCCTCTGCATAATGTGGCCATAACGGTTTGGACATCGAAAAAGTCCAATCGCTGGGGGCAAAAACAGGCCCACGATTCAAAAAGGGGCCCAACTGGGGATCGAACCCAGGATCCCTTGCATATATCGACAGGTACTGTCCCAAAGCAAGTATCTTACCACTAGACCATTGGGCCAACAGCTTTCCGTCGCGTACGTGCAGCCATGATAGCAGCGGCGCACGTTACACGAGTGGTCACTCCCAATCCGGGCTTGCAGTGAGCACGTCTTCTCGACCATGACCTCACCTTGCCCACTTCGACATACCGTGACTACTTCGAACCCAAGAGATGTTCCGCTTATCGATGGAAGATACATATTGGGGTTTCGCCTGGCGGCGCGATGAAGAGCTCTGACGAACTTGTCAACGCCGTTGGGGAGTTCATCAAGTCGCGATTGTATGCTCTGGAGAAAACGGACGATGCCCAGTGAGCTAACTCGTGTATAATCCGCTTTGAGCCATTGAAATTGACACTACCTGTCTTCAGCATGAAAGAACGGCTGGGCTGGTATGTCTCGAGCTGAATGAACGAAGATTCTCAATCCGACGTCGATTTCAGATGAGCTGACCTGCTTGCGGAGTTGCCGGTTGTGCAAGGCAAAGGCGGAGACCTGGCTTCTACATCTGCTTCTCAGTAAGTCCTGCCGCACGAACGTATCGTATCGTATCGCGTGATGGTCTGATTGGGTTCCGGAATGACTTCACAGCTTGGCAAACGCGTCTGGCTCAGAATGGCACGAATGGCAATTGCAAGGTTTCAGCGGAAGAGAAATATTTCTCGAAGGTCTTGCTTCTGCAAATGCAAGTGTTTACACCGACGATCAACTATGCTCTCCCATAACACTGAGCCGTTGGCTTGTAAGCACATGCCAAGTCCGATGCAGTTGCGCTCCTCCTCTCACATATCCTGGTGCACAGCGTCGAGATTTGCTCTCTCCTTTACCAAGTCGTTATGCATTCCTCACAGACCTCACGCAGAGGGTGAGTGGGTCACTGTGACGGAACTTCCCATTGAGCCCACCAAGGTCCTCAACGACGATGCTATCACCATTCCCAACGACGATCACATGGTCCCTCTGCTTCATATCTGGACCGTATGCAACAATACAAGGCAAGCACAGAAGACTATCAAAGCTACGTCTCGCAGCCGATATGCTCCTCTACACCAAAGTCGCTCCCCCTTCGGAAGTCCGGGAGCACTCACAGGAGGGCTTATCTGTTCGGTGAGCTTGTTTTTCGACTACTTAATGTGATCCTCGCTCATCTGTTACTGTAACTCGGCAGTCTGACAGGGTTGGGACGACAGATATGTCTACGGTGCCGTTTACGTTGAAACCTACTTTCATCTTTACGTATCGCGGTGGGCAGACGATTCAATTGTGAGTGAACCTTCTCAACGTTGCTCGTGATCTCTTGAAGAGCCTGTTACTTACTCACACGGCCTCCAGGAAGTTTCACCCGTCCGCGGTCATGTCTGGGACTTCGCCACTGGTCGAGGTCTCGTCAAGTGTCTTTACTACCCATCGGCCTCAAAGAAAGACTGCACTCTGAAACTGCCCCTGACTTCCGCAAGTTTAGCGAAGTTGATCGCCTGTGCACAGACGAAGGACTGACGAAGGCCGGAAGACCTGGAATGATTGGCGATGGACACCGTCTCCCGAGCCTACGAGCAAGTGGATGACTACAAGCCAAATCGAGGCAGCGGATCCTATTAGCTGGTACATAGCTGTGTGTCTCGTGTTCTGTACGTATTGCCTGTACTACGTTCTCGTTAACGTTGTCATTCTATTCATAGGTGTGTAGCAGTGCAGATCTCATCATGACGATATTTGTGAGAATTTTAGATGGACGCCTCTGAGGCTGTGAGCACGTAGGTGACCTACAGCGCTCGGCCACTCAAGCGACGTCTTCAACACCCTCATCTTCGTTCGAGGTTTTTTCGATGCGCTAGCCTCTGCTAGCCTCCGGAGGGCCCGTGTTTCATCTGTCTCACAGCGCGACTTCGACTTGCTCACGAACATTTGAAGGCAGACAACAGCCGATCGACACGCGCTCATCAAGGACAAGAGACTAGTAGTCCATGTAATCGCACAGACCGTACAGTCCCGAGCCCTCTTCATGCTGCTGCATCATGCATCGTGGTTCTGAACCCGCCGATGCATCTCAAGATACGTCTCGCTGGACTAGGTAGCGGGGGTTTTGAACGAAGCTGCCAGTGGTGACCCAGGAGTGGTACGTCCTTTTTCAACCCACGAACTTAGCGCATCTGCGACCGCAGTGGCTGCGGGCGAAAATTCGAAAGAAGCTCGTGATTTTGACTGATGAAGATCTCCATAACTTCTGGAGTTGACAATGAACGATGAATTAGAGCTGTGATGATGGCTGCATGAAAGAAGGTTGCCTGAAGATCTCCTCCAATATAATACATCACAGCATCACAGCAGCCTCGCAGGGATAGGCAGGGATAGGCAGGGATGCATTCGCAAAAAGGGGTGCCAGGGGGTGTCAAGCTGTGGAGAGACGTCTCCATGATCTATCGACTTGCATTGCGGCGGTTGCGCTCTGTTGCGCTCTGAAACTCGTCGAGCAGGTCGTAACGGTTGAGTACGGTACGCCCTCAGCTGACCGTTAGCCGACGCCATTACCGGTAAGAGCCCTCAAGTTGCCTTTCGTGCTCGCAACTAACAAACGTCCGCGAATTGTCTTGGTAAGTTCATTACGACCACTTTGCGTCTCGTCATACGCGTCGGACGATATGCCATGGACCTCGCTCTGGAGCGACGGCTTCTTGGGTAGGAATAAAGATGCTTCCGATGAAACAGGTGAGTGGATCCAAGTGAATCTCAGAAGGGGCAGCTACTCAGTATTCAGTACTCTGAGCTCAGCTGCAAAAGAAAGGTAATAAACGCCTTCAAATTCAGAAGCTCTCAATTGCTATCGCCGCGCTGATGCTCTATTCATGAGACCCTTTCTCAAGTGCTATCGACGCGGACGCTCGTTGTATGAGACTCTTTTTCAAGATCTTTCTCAAGTGCTATCGACGCGGACGCTCGTTGTATGAGGCTCTTTTTCAAGGTCTTACTTCAGTAATTGAAGTTGGGAGCGTATATAAAGCAAAGAGAAATGTACCATGGTCTTCCAGCTGAGCTCACACAAATACAGGTGCTGGACGGTCAGTCTTTCCCCGTTTGCGCCACCGTCCACATACTAGATGCTGACTTTTCCGTCTTCTTCTGCAGCTTGTACTTACCCTTTCGTCACCCGCGCCATCTTTCAACACCCCCTTCCACCGACAGAACTAACGTCCCGCCATGCGTTTTGCCACCGCGTTCGCTGCTCTCGTTGCGGTGTCATCCACAGCTGCCCTCGCGGCCCCACTCCAAGTCCCCGTCACGGTGCCGAGTGTACATGCGCGGCGAATTCTCCTCTCTTGCCCTTCGAGACGCCGTCGAAATTTTGTACGTCTCGTAGTAGCTTTTCTGCCAGTGAACCGATACTGACCGACTGACACCACACAACTTTGGCATACACTCCACAGGAACGAGCTGGAGAAGCGAATCGACGAAGAAATGCCTGATGCGGATGCTGCAGCGAAGGCGGAGGCGAAGAAGACGTCTGATGCTGCGAGTGCGAAGAAGTACCGGGGCACGACGAAGGGGAAGGAAACGGGTGCTGCATATGAAGCATCGGACGAAGGAAAGGCTAGGCAGGCCGCGTACGATGGATCAGACAAAGGAAAGGCTAGATCTGCAACGTACGGGGATTCGGAAAAGGGGAAGGCCAGGAATGATAAGTATGAAGCAACAGATGGGGCGAAGGCAAAGGCAAGGGAAAGGCAGGCTCGGTTCAAGGCAAAGAAGGCAGAGAAGGCGGCAGCAGAAAAGGCGGCAGCTGCAGCACCGCAGGACCCAGGTGCAGGACCTGCTCCTTCTCGTGGCTTCACGCCTGAAGAAGAAGCCCGCACTCGCGGCACGGTGAACCCTGCAGCAGTTGGCCCGCGACGATGAGGGTCAGTTGGTATGTAGAGTACAGTGTACTACATAGCTACGGGCGATGATGTCATGCCATGTGACCGTGTCGGTGTTCTCCGCGCTGCTACAAAATAGTAACCTCCTCTGACTCTGAGTCTCACCAGTCACCTCCAGAAAACATGGAACACCCCGAGGAAGAGATTGCCGACGTCGTCAAGACTCTGACCTGCGCAGAGTCGCCAGAGGCGCAGAAGGCTGCCGTCGAGAAGTAAGTTCAACATCACCAGCGTCGCAGTTATTGGAACAACTCGACAACCTGCATCGTCTGAACGTACGACTCTTCAGATACTACGCTGTCGACGCAGCGTTCCGTCACCCACTCTCCACCGTCGTACCCGGGCCAAACTCGCGCAGCGCCATCCTCGGGGTCTACCAGTACGTCCTCCGCCTCCATAGTAGCCATGCATCGCCGCCGGTAGTTGATACATGGTGTCCAGATGGTATCGCGTCCTCTCCCCTACGATACAGCTCAACGTCGACAGCATAACCTACAACTCCTCCCGCGCCGAGCTTTTCCTCGAAGTCACCCAGTCTTTCCACATCCGCTGGTCGCCCTTCTCCCCTGCCCCTGCCCGCCTCCTCGTACACCTCGTCCTTTCCCCTTCTATAGACGACCCGAAGCTGTGGGTCATCAGCTTGCAGGAGGATTTCTATCATCCGGAGGACTTGACGGCGCTGGTGGTACCCCCGCTAATGCCGTTGACGAGGTTGCTGCTCCGAGCGGGGTCGATGGCGAGTAACGTGAATGCGTTTGTGTTTGGGAAGTTAGGTACGTGGTTGATCTACTTGTCAATACCGGCTTCAACTGAGATCTCCTGCCCCGTGTAGGGTACTGGGCGGTGAAAGAGAAAGAGAAGCCTGCGAGACCCAGTGTTGCGTCGACTGCAAGTTGAGTCAACTCCTCTCGAACATCTCAACGTCTCGTTGGGCTTTAAGCCTTTGGCCCTTGGTCTACTTCACAGAGGTGTGGCCGCTCGCTACGTGTAGGCACCTGCACACATTCGCACTTGTTATGTATATTATATGTGACGCATAGCAAGCGGGTGATTGTGAGAGTCCCGGGACCCGCGAGCAATCAGAGAGGGACTCGGAGGGTGGTGCCGGT